TTCCACTATGTCTATCTATAAGTTATAATGTCTTTTTGACAGGAAATTCATTTCTTTTATTTGTCGGAATAATTATTTCCCAAAACAGATTTTTTTATTTTTCCTTTACAAAAAAGATGTACAAAAATGTACTTGTATTTGATGTGAACATCAATTTACTCATTTTTCTACTAGACACAATTTGTATGTAATACCACACGCGGTGCAGGAAAACATTCCTGATTTCTTATTCCCACTTCCTGTTATATCACGAGACATGTTGTCTTTCTTTACACGACAATATTTTAAGATCGTGGTCTCTCCTTGTCATCTTTTGGAACATGTTGTTTCTATTGTCATTCAATCATTTTCCAGTAATTATATCTTTTAACATTTAACTTCATATTGCCATTAAAATATTCTTTAAATCTTTGAGACAGAATTCATTATCTCGAAGAAGAAAAAACTCACCTTGAAGTCAAAGCATCTGTGTTTAATAACTACACTCTATTACGGGGACTAATCAATCTATGATAGCTACCATAATTATATCACTAATGACACATTCTTGATTTCCTTCCATTTGTGATGAATGATTATAGATCCGTATCAATACCATTTAACAGGCACCAGAACACTGATATGATATAATAGAGTGAGTACTGGAGGTTGAAACGAGTAGGGAGGAAGGAGGTATTATGGAAATTTTGTCAGCGATATTCAAATTCTCTGAAACATTTTCCGTGTTTTTGATTCCATCAGAGGGATATTATCTCAACAAACCATAGGAATATGAAATAAAATGATGGCTTTAGATCAAGGTCATGGAGACTGGCATCATTATTTAGCAGGGGAAATAACCCACGAAATCTCACCTTGAAGTTGTGAAAGTCATGCACAGATCAAGTGTGTAAAGTTACATGAAGAGCCTTTGCTCTGAATGAGCATGTCTTGTAGTACATGTACCTAAATTATATGATCATCTTATTTTCTCTAAAGTCCAGATTAGTTATGACTGTATTTGTTGTAACAACTGTACATTTCAAAATGTTTAAACTTGATTTCTCGTAATTCAAAGGAAACCCAGCTGAGGAGAAAAATAATAGCTGACCTGCAGGCACAGTGATCAGGGAAGTTTTTCAGATAGTTATACATTAAGAGGTGGATAATTTCCATACGTGTAAATGTACAAATTGTAAATATGTTTTTTTTTCATCCAATTCATTGCCAAGAGAAAGAATATTTTTGTAGACTTTTAGCTGAATTTGTCTAACATTGCTTCAAGACCCTTCATGCTGGGACAAGAACGTTTCTCCAAAATTGACAACTTCAAGCTTAGAGTTTACTTTATTGTAATTTAAATGTCAGTAACAAATGTTCATAGTCAATCTTTACCATTATGTAATTGTTCTTCTTATTTGGATAATATTTATGTGATTTTTAAACAGTAATAAGGCTATTTAATATACATTCACTCTATCTAAAACCCACCCATTAAACCCCGGGCTGTATAATTACAGAAAAATTACAGCTGTATGACATATATGTTACAAAACACACGCAATGACGTTTTTATTTGAAGCACAGCAGGAAGAAAACACATGATGAAATCTCCGGTGGAACATACATAAGTTAATTTTATATCTAGCGGTAAAAGGTCTGTGATAACCCTTTTCATCATTAGAGATAAGAACAATAAAATTTGCACTCTGTTTTTTTAAGCCTGTTGACATTAAACCACTGTCCAATTACAGTTATCTCCCCTGTTTATAAGCAGCTTTAGAAAATGTATAAATCTGTACAACTAATCATAATATGTTTGTTTATTAGATCCACTTTAACAGTAATTAGCCTTTGTATATCTTAGAATACTGTCTTAATGTTAACAAAAAAATAAACATTTCTGTCATTTCTCAGCCTGAGGTCAGCGCTCCTCTCCAAACTCTATTGCACGTCGATATTATGTACGTGAACATGTATCGCTTTAGTTTCTGTGACATCTCCACCTGAACCAACATACTGAAATGTTAACACTGGAACAGGACTACAGGACTGGAAATTTGAGGTAAAAGTTCAAGTTCATTTATTACTTTCAGTTTTACAGCTCACCAGTTAAAAACAAATAAAGCCTTTAATCCTTCTGACCTACAAAGATGTACGAAGCTTTAATCGGACAAGAATTGTAGTCAATTCTAGGTTTTTAAATCACATTTCATATATAATATGATCTTAAACCTGTCTCTGTTTCATAAAGTTTATGATATGTATATTTACATTTCCTGTGCAAGTCACTTTATAAACATTATCAGAATAAAATGCATTCACAGTGCTATGAACACAATGGGAACAGTATATATCATTTTGATGCTTTTTTTCTCTCCTCGAATAATGTAAAACCATTGTACAGGCTGTCGCGAGATTATAGATACAGACCATATATATATAACACCTGTTACATTTTAGATAATTAACGATGATAAAAATATAATTACCAATATAACATATTGGACAATGTGATATTTGTATCCAAATTAATGTTAGGTATATGCTTAAAATGTAACAGAAGTATTTATAATACACAAACATACCCTGTAATTAACAACAGGTGCAAAACATGTAACAGAGCAGAAAATGAACAGATTTTAGTCAAAGTATAGTCAGTTTTAAAAACTTATCCCATCATCCTCCCCTTTTCCTCACATTGCTCATTTTTCTTCTGTCAACACCAAACATCCGAGCATAATAATCTGTTACATTACTGTCACCCTGGTAAAATACAAGCTGCTTCCTACCGTCTCGGCTAGGCAGAATTTCTCTTTAGCTCATTCGGTAGAGCGTAAGACTAGTAAGCCAGAGGTCCCAGGTTCACTTCCTACCGGAGGCATTGAAAACGTAACGATCGCGCTCTGTTAAATAACTTTACAAGGCCGCTGCAGCCTTAAAAACACTGGGTTTGCTCGCCTAGGGAGAATTTCTCTTTAGCTCATTGGTTAGTGCGTAAGACTAGTAAGTCAGAGGTCTCAGGTTCGACTCCTACCGGAGCCATTGAAAACATAACAATCTCTGTTAAATAACTTTACAAGGCCGCTGCAGCCTTAAAAACACTAGGTTTGCTCGGCTAGGGAGAATTTCTCTTTAGCTCATTGGTTAGAGCGTAAGACTAGTAAGTCAGAGCTAGGTCTCAGGTTCGACTCCTACCGGAGCCATTGAAAACATAACGATCTCTGTTAAATAACTTTACAAGACTGCTGCAGCCTTAAAAACACTGGGTACACACCTGAATGATGACTATACAGTAACGTTTGTTAAAATTCAGACAACTTTAGAAAATACTGCATCCTGAAGGTTTAATGGGGCAGGTTATATGTATACATTATATGAACACATCTCATCTCAAAACTGGACCTGTTTACACCTGTCATCACAATACAGGTAAGAGTTATTCACAGTCAGGTGAGGTAATATTGCTGTACATCCTGAAGGTGTAATGGGGCAGGTTATATGTATACATTCAAATCTGGACCTGTTTAAACCTGTCATCACAATACAGGTATTAATCATATATATCAATTTCAATTTTTATTTCCGTAAGTTTTACAACTTATAGGATTTTTTCAACAAATAATTTCATATAAGTACAACATATAATTACATATTACCGGCACATTCATCACAAATCAGCAGCAACAACAACATCATCGAAATCATAATTCATCACTTTCATCATTATCATTATCATCATCATCATCATCGTCGTCGTGGCCGTCGTCGTCGTCTTATAACTCATCATCATGAAATAATCATTTCTTTAAATCAACATCAAATACTACGTCATCATCCGTCAAAGTACAACAACATGAAATAATTACCATTTTAACACGAATTTCATAAAACTGGTACATTTTTCACAAATCAACGATATTATTAAAATCATTACCCCTTTCATCATCATCATCATCATCATCATCATCAACAACAAAAAAAAACAACAACATTGAGCATTTACCATGAAAGATTGAACGAACAAAACATGGACATGATACGATTGAGTAATACAAAATTACAAAATAAGGTAAGAGTTATACATAGTCAGGTGAGTTAATATCGCTGTACATCCTGAAGGTGTAATGGGGCAGGTTATATGTATATTCAGTCAGGTGAGGTAATATCTCGGTACATCCTGAACGACATCAGTTAATGGAATATAACCATAAGTAAGGATTTGGTCAATAAAATGTAATGCGAACACGAGTCAAGTAAATAATTCAATAAACTTGTGTATAGCAACAGGAACTCTCTTTACATCATGCAGTACGTATATTGTAAGGCATCACAAACAGGTTGGGTATGTGTTGTCACCGACAGGTAATTAACAATTCATACATAATGTACATACATGGTAACATGAATATATCCCAGAAATTTGAAATATCGTGAAAGTCTTCAAGGTTGACGTTTAATAATACATATGATTTATAATGCAAAACAAATGTACGTAAAAAGTAAGGAAGGTTGTTTCAGTCAAATGTGAACAACAAACATGCTAATTGCTTTTTGTCCCAAAGTAAGTGTTTGTCTCCTATAAACTTCCAACTCTGTAAGTAGTTTTGGCTGTAACAAAATAATCTCCAAGATACCCTTAATTTAGCAGTTTGTTAAAATCATGTTTACTACATTAGGAGTTTAAAAGAAAAAGTTCATCCGACGGAGCATTGAACAAAAGGTCCGAAGGGCCTGCATCAATCAGCTGTTTCTTTTCTTATTGTAATGGTTGCAGACAAGAGTTTTAATTCCTTCCACTAACCATGGTGGCTATCTCATATTTCTTATAAATCTGAAGAAATATTTGTTCTATAGCACTATTTAACCTATAAGGCTCAACCCACCTGTCTCTAAGGGGGGCACAGCCTTAACATTTTCATACACCATTGATCTCCTTTTCCCAGTAATAATTCAGATAATATGTAGTTTATGTCTTTTCAGGAGGAATTATAAGGTTTGCTTTTAAAGGAAAATGTTGACGGACAGATGACAGATGTTAGAACCTGTGGTAAGAATAGCATAAAGCTCGCCCAAAGGATAAGGTGAGCTAAAAAAGCTTCAAGCCACACTTCTGATTATTGGTCCAAGTTATAGCAACTTCATGACATAGCAGATCATTATTTTAAAATCAATTGTCTTGACAGAATATTCTTCAAATTTTGTATCAATATCAAATTCACTTTGATTCAGAACCTGTAGCTTTATAAATCCTAACACCAATATTTTTTGCATTAATTTGACATTAAACAAAAATAAATCATTCACCACACCTGGAGGGAAATGTACCTGTATGTTTAATTAATACCTTAACACCTTCACATAAGCTTAACACGAAACAATACACATTGTAATGTATATATATATATAATATTGTACAGATAGCCAACACTACGATCCCCCTACAGTACAAATCCTTGCCTGCTAGAAACAATCTGCAGTTGGCATTTCAACACAGGCTTAACAGTATAAACACAGGATTTCTGGTTGTCTACCATACCCAAACCAGGCCGGGACTTGGATAAACACAGGCACCAGGGCCTTCCTAACCTTCAAAGGATAAACGTTTTAATTGGGCCTGCACTCTGGTCATGTATGATATAGGTTGGGATGACGGGAGATTTGAGGTAGGGCTGAATGATGATCTGCCCGCTGTTCCGTTCCAGTACCTGTATTGTACTATTGTAGTGTAACTACCTGCTTTGATAGAACCACGATTTCAACATTCCAGACAGTGAATAAAATACAAACATTTACAGAGCCCGGAGTTTTAAATTGACCATTCCCAGGGTACCTATTCTACTGAATCTGACAAAAAGGATTTAATGAAAAGGATTTCATTCCAGTGAAATTTTTGACAAATCCTGCATTTAAATTCCTGGATTTTACTGTTTAAGAACATTACTCTACAGCAATGGAAGCAAGACTTAGTATTCCTTTAAAGTAAGTATCATCACTATAAGTTTAGACAATAGAAGATTAGTACATTAAAACCATCAGCATCCTACCCATCAAGCCTCCAGATTATATATAATGTAATCATGGATGTAATTAGGGATAAACCATTGTCACTGGGTCATTGTATGATCATATAATATGCTGTCGTGTCCTCGTTGGTATAAAGGACTATCGTAGCCAGCAGTTGTGTTGTAGTGCTGTGGTACGGAGGTAAGTTACTGCCGTAGGTTAATTATGTCGTCTCAATGTCTCTACTCACGTATCAACAATGTAAACCTTCACTCAGGCGGAAATTTACTGCACCACGCTGATGATGGATTTTATTATACGAGCTAGTATATAATAATTATAAACGTGTGAGAAAATCTCATCACAGATGTCTGTCTTACAGGTAAGTACAGGTAATTTCTATACATAATAACCTTTAAGGTTTGTTACAGGAAATATTTACTTATACATTTCACATTGACAATGGTTATTTTAACCAACAGAATGCTGAAATCTGTCTCTAATGTAAAGAAATCTATTGCATGTCTCATTTCAAAGACAGCTGTCATCGGCTTCCCAAGTTCATGTGAAAATCTGTATCGTGGCCATTCAAGGCCAATATTAATGTGACATACCACAATGAAACTCTAAAATCATTATAGTTATCAATTCATTGGTCCAGTGTCAAATGCGATACTTGAGGAAAACCCAATGAAGCTTTCTCTAGATAAACTAACTTTGAAACAATACAAACTGATCATGTTAAAATAACAAGGTGCTATTGTGATAAAAAGGTGGGCGGACATTAATTGGAGCTCTGTACACAAATTCAATTAGCAGTTCTGTTAGTTTAATTAATTGTCAGCTGTTGTTTTGAATCTATTGGTATATGATATACATAATAAAATACCCTGAGTGCAACAAAAAGATATTCTGATGACAAAAAGGAGTAATTACAAGACCTAGCTAGTTCCAATGATAAGATTGACAACTCCTCTGTATCAGCCATTACACAAGATATCTAGGGATTTCTTAATCATCACAGGTGGACATGTGAATATGTAACTTTGCGGTGTAATGTACATCTCGATTATCATAACTGAATAGTTTGACGATTTAATTGCCCACATTCTTGAGATATATGATCCAGCTCTTGAGATACGACACTGTAGTTGTCACACCCACCTGAACACAAGCCACTGTGTTTAAGAAAAATTCAACCCATTAAAATGAAAAAAATTGCAACTGAATTCTTTAAAAAAATTGTAGAGCTAAAAGATATATTAACCTCCAAAATTTTCCATTAAAAACATAGGTATTGTAACATTTTTATTGAATACCTTAAGCTGTCCTGCTTTGTACTGACAGCTAGTGAAATGAGGACTTATTGGGGGGATATAGGTTAACAGATAGGATAAATACACCCCGCCATAAACTGGTCAAGTCATGTGAAAGTCCAGTAACAGTCTTTGTTATGATAACTTCTTACTGAAATGGAACCGCTTGGATTGTAAGTTTATTATTCAACTCGCAATGGATCCGTCTGTTAACTAATCCCTTTCGGTTGTATATAATAGCACGGTCCCAATAATCCTTTAACTTACAAGGAAGTGTGGTGGGATATAGAGACATTACAACCTGTACACATTGTATTACAATGGAGGTAGGATAGAAACGCCCTGACATTCCACAACATTTCAGTGTCGATTATGTAAGTATAAAGTATAAAATGTCTTTTAGCTGTCTCAATTATATGCACCTCTCACGTAATTAAGAGTCTGTTGTCAGAATAATGTTAATGGGTTGGGAATCATGCTACCAGGTCGGAATTATGACATTTTGTATGTTGGCATTGTTATAGCCTTGTCAGAGGCCCCATCATCTGTAGACACCTATTGTTTGATAAACATAATATCAAACAAAAATGACTTTTCAAAAATATGATTTTCTTAGCAGATAGTTTGAATGATATTCAGACTTGAATGAGGTGGTTGAAGACAATTTGAAAGTTGTGTGAAATTTTGTCAAATCTCTGTTCCTTTTGGGATGGTCACTGTAGACAGGGTGATCTTTATACACACTCTAACTCAAAATGATCACTATAGACAGGTTGTCAGTATACACTGAGTAGACATGGTCTTTGTAGACAGACTAGAGGTAATCACTTCAGACAGATTGTCTTAACACACATTAAGACAGAGATGGTCCCAATTGTCAGGTGGTCTTAATACCCTAAGACAAGAAGCAGTCATTTCAGATAAATATAGTCTTTAAACATACACAGACTGTTTGTGGTCACTATAGGCAGGGGGTCTTAATACTCACGAAAAGTTACATTTGAATATAGCATGGTTTGAATGCCCTCTTACAAAGATGCATGCTGCTACGTAGTAGTTACTAGAACATTGGAATACATGTTTCAAACGTAAAATTTGCCCAACCATATCTAACTTAATGTGGAGCAGATTTTTCACTGCCAGCAAACAAATATTGGCTGTACTTTGAGGAACTATCACTAAGTAAACACCGACCAAGGGGGATCTAATGCTGGCGATATGTTTGGTGGTCTACAGGTCAGTGTAGTGTGGTCTACTGAGCAGTGTGGTGTCTGACAGTAACAGTGTTAGGCAGCCGCTGAGCTTATTGACCACATCAGGTTACAAACTGACCAATGTGTATATGTATACTCCAGTGGTCAAGCTGAAACTCTGACCATGTACTCCTCTATTTACACAGATTTCCTCTTAACAATTTACATTTCAAATAATCCATTCGTAAATATTATGGGTTATGGAAATGTTATGGTCTTTATTGATGGCAGGTTGAAATATAATACTTTTTTCCAGTATGCTAAAAGTATTTATAGTAGCGATAAGGAAATTCTCTGTCTGTTTTTAATGAACTGGTGAGAATTCCAGTCCAAATCAATGTTGAACTTATTGTATTGACAGTGATGTATAAAAGCATTGAAATTGTCTGATGACATTATCTATTCAATACACAAGAATCACTGAATAAGAAATTGATGAATAAATTTGACATGTGTACACATGTGCATGTATTAGGTTATATATATAATTACACACTATATTTTATGACAATATGTACCTCCGATCAAAAAAGAGTTCTATTTTGATTACTGATAACTTAATTATCATAATCTGTGCACTTATTAAAATGTTCATAAACTTTAGATCAGACAAAAGAAAATTTAAGTATTTTTTACCATTTTGTTGTAAGAACAATTTATGATATTGATCATGATCTGAAAGAAGAAATGTTAAAAACATTTACCAGGTATTTCATGAAAAATGAGTACCGGGGTAAAACTGGGTTATATTTTCAACATATATCATTTTTTGTCATAGAAAAAATTAATAATTTCATTATGATTGAAAAGGTGTTGTCTGAAAATAATCATGGGAAGCAGATTGACCACCAAGAATTTGATTACAAAATATGAACAAAATCCTACAAAGAATGAGTAATTTTAATTTCAATACTTTGGAAGGAGGGTGGAGAAAAACCCATGGTTATGTTAAGGGTTGGGGTGGAAAAGATCTTGAGAAACCAATTGACCACCTAGAATTTTATTACAAAATATGACCAAAATCTTACAAAGAATGAGAAACGTTTATTTCAACATTTTTGGCAGGAGGGTGGAGAAAAAAACAGGGATTTTGTTTAGGGTTGGGGAGGAAAAGACCTGGACTTCCTGCATACACTATCTTGATTCTTTGATGCCTTATCTCAAAGGAATTTTTAGTTCCAAAAAATATCTCAGAACTTCAGCAGTTCATGCCCCAGTAATCATTATAATAGACTTCAATTACCATCATACCTAAGCTACAAACTATTGTAATCATGCATGTTACATTTCCTAAAATACATTTGTTTGTGATTGGTATTAATTTTCTGATCATGTGATAAAATAGAAATATCTGAAATTACATATTTTTAAGAAATGACTGCTTATAAATAGTACATCTCTAAGCTGCAGAATACCATGACAGCAATATATAGGTGCAGAAAGTGGTACATACAATTGAAAATAGGGATATATACAATACATAGTGGGGGTACATACAATACAAAATAGGGATATATACATTACATAGTGGGGGTACATTACATAGTGGGGGTACATACAATACAAATTAGGGAGATATACAATACATAGTGGGGGTACATTACATAGTGGGGGTACATACAATACAAAATAGGGAGATATACATTACATAGTGGGGGTACATTACATAGTGGGGATCCCGGATACATTACATAGTGAGGGTACATACAATACAAAATATGGAGATATACATTACATAGTGAAGGTACATACAATACAAAATATGGAGATATACCTTACATAGTGAAGGTACATACAATACAAAATATGGAGATATACATTACATAGTGGGGGTACATACAATACAAAATATGGAGATATACATTACATAGTGAGGGTACATACAATACAAAATAGGGAGATATACCTTACATAGTGAAGGTACATACAATACAAAATATGGAGATATACATTACATAGTGGGGGTACATACAATACAAAATAGGGAGATACACATTACATAGTGAGGGTACATTACATAGTGGGGGTACATACAATACAAAATAGGGAGATACACATTACATCGTGACGGTACATACAATAGTGTCAATTGCATATCACTCCTCAACAAGTGCTTACAAAAAATCTAAACAATTCGGGACACGTTTTTATATTTTCCAGATGTGACATATGACCAGATCATTAAAGTGTTTAGCAAGCATAGATAATACCACAATGCCCATTTAAACAACAGTTAGTAATATGTCACAAAGTTTCTGGTCTGGTACTTCAATTACAGATCCATGCAAATGTAATAAAACATGAACGTTGAATGTCAGAAATGTTAGAAGCTGAATGATAATATCACCAGTTCAACTTATAATGGCTGACCCCAACAAACACCAAGGAGATGGACATCAATCCATCC